CATACTGGATACCTTCTTTGCATTGGCTGGTACACTGATTAACGTTTGGTTTCTTGCAGCCATGTTGAAATCTCCAGAAATTCGCTCACGTTTGCGCAACAAAATTATCTGTGGTATGTTGGCGGTTAACTTAACAGAGTCGGCGATACGTTTGCCGATTATGGCAACTGACGGAATTATGAGTCTTCTTCATGTTCGAGATATCTTCAAATGTGACTTGTTAATAATTCCCATAAGCCTCTTCCACATCCAAGACTTTATAGGCAACTGGTACATTTTTATTCTCGTATGTGTTTACACGGCTCAAGTGATGAACTTTGAACCCAGATTCATCCTCCTTTGGAAGAAAATTACCACTGCTCTTGTCATAACATCTCCATTGGTGTTCGCTTTATTACTGGTATCGTTAACCATCGACAGTTACGCACGCAAAGACGATTTCTGTTTTGATATCGATTTCAAAGGACTTCTACTCTACACATCGTTAGACATTATTGTTCCGCTGGCATTAGCAAGCTTGCTTTTAGTGGTGACTGCAGCGTTGAAGTACAGACGATATCCACAGATTCATCTTTTTGATAATCTTCGTGCACAGCTGATAGACGACAGGTCCAATATAGATCCGTTGTGTGCCTTTGTTGCACTAGTTGTCACTGCAGTGGTGTCTGACTTGTGCCTGACTGTTTCCTTATTGATTTTTAAACATGTGCCTTCAATTAGATTGGAAATCTGGTAAGCAAAATATGAGTGTAATTTTCATACTAAATATATTAAAGACACCAATACAGGTAAAGCACAGGTAACACTAGAGACATACAGAATGAAAGTAAAAGAACTAACAACACAGATAACAGAAAAAGCATTGGTAAGACAATAAGAATTACTACTTACTAAGAACTATTGGTGACTGACTTGAAAGTACCAGTGAAAGACATGCTCTGTCTCTTGAGTGACTTGTGGTGTCCCGTAGAGAAAACCATCGAGTGACTTGCTGTGTCAGAAGGTCAGTTAGCTACTTAATAAGAACATTAAGTGACGACTTGTCAAGACCAGTGAAAGACATGCTCTGTTTCTTGAGTGACTTACGGTGTCCTGTAAAAAAAAACATCAGGCAACTTGTTGTGACCCAAGAATAGTGATCGGGTTACCCGGCGTCTTCAGTTATCGCCTTGTCAAGACTACTGAAAGGCATGTGCCATTTCGTGAGTGCTTTACGCTTTCCGTGGAGAAAGATATAGCACCCTTTTGGCACCTAAAATTACCCAAGCCCCCATTCGTCGCCTGGTAGCGCCGCCTCTGACCTACAACTCAAACCCTCCATGAGAGGTGATATCTAACAATATGACACAACAGTTCTCCCTTTTTACTATAGCTCAACCATATATGTACGGCCAGAACCCGCCACTTTGATACACCTGTTGTCCTTTTGTTATTTTTTCCCCTACAACTTAAACTACCACTGAGCAGCCAGCCTCCATTAATATATCACAACGGCCGCCACTTTGCTAACGTTTTCCTTTTTACTGCACCACAAACCCTTCCTAAGCTACCAACCTCTAGCACTATGATAAGACACCCGACCTTCAATTGTACGTTCTCCCTTTTACTACAGTTCAAACCGTCCCTGAGCGGCTGGCATTCGTTGCTATGACATAAAGGTCGCCATTTTACCATAAATTCCCCTTTTTACCTTAACTCAAACCCTCCATGAGCGGCCAACATCCAATAATATATCACAACTTTGCTAAAGTTTACATTTTTACTACAACATAAACCCTCCTAAAGTACCAACATCTAACACACTATGATAAGCCGCCCACCCTTCTGTCATACGTTCTCCTTTTTACTACAGCTCAAACCGTCCCTGATCGTTGGCATTTGTTGCTATGACATAAAGATCGCCATTTTACCATAATTTCCCCTTTTTAACTTAACTCAAACCATCCCTGAGTGGCCAGCTTTCAATACCATGACACAGACGATGCTGCTGTTGCCTAAGCTACCCTTTCTCATATATTCCCGGTCATCCAGCCACCTTCCTAGGTTTCTTTATCTAAGCCCGTCACTGTCACCACACCAACCGCCTGACTTTTCCTAACCCGAATTCCCTAGCAGAATTACCCCTGGATGCTACTGACCAATCAGAACCTTCAGATATTTATTTATAATATCAAACTGGTTGTCCTGTAAGTCTCTTCTCTTAGGTCCTTAACACCATGACAAGACACCCATCATTCTGTCGTAAGTTCTCCTTTTTACTACAGCTCAAGCCAATTCTGATTGGTCTACCTTCGCTCGCATGACACAGATGATGATGATGATGGCGCTGGAGTCGCCATTTATCATATATCCCCGGTCATCAACCTACCTTCCTATGTTTCTTTATATAAACTCTAAAACGGCCCCCTCAGCCGCCTGTCACTGCCGCCTATAAGTCTATTTTCATATCCCCTACATTAATTCGTTTTGTAACATATATTTCCCTCACTAAAAAACCACTCCTATTTGATACTATTATAGAGCCCATAAGCCTGCGCCAAGTCTATTAGTCGCCCTGTCGCCCCGGGTCCCCTGCCCCGCCCACCCGGCTGCTCACCTACATATTGTTCCGGACGTCGCCATTTATATAACGCCATCCACCGACGAGTCAAACGTCAGTTGTCGTCCACCGCTTTCAAGATAATAATTCGCCTGCAAAGTATCGATTTGCCGGCCCGAGCAATAATACACTAAAGAAATGTCGATTTTCCTTCCTTAAATCACTCCGCCTAAAAATACCCACACCCCGACATACTGACAATGAGTCACCAGTTGCTATGGAGACAATGCAAAGTATCGATTTATGCACCACATGTCTTTCCCCGCCCGGGAAAACCAGTCACGTCTGCCGTCATCAGCCGCCTGATCGATATTTACTAAGGGTGAAGAGGGCGATTGCCTGATCGATATTTACTAAGACTTACAGCCGCCGGAAAAAACCAATCACTTGTGCAGTCAGATGGCCGCCTTCTTTTACTAAGAATAAAGATGGAATTATGGAATTGTACAGATAGAACTACAAAGGTCAGATTTTTAAGAGCATGCATCTTTCCCATTGCAACATACGCCTGTGAGACCTGGACACTTACTAAACAAGCGGAACAGCGCATAAATGCATTTGAATATATATGTTACAGACAGGTTCTAAGAATATCTTGGGTAAAGAAAAGAACAAATGCATCCATACTTCAAGAGCTGAATATTGAAGAGGGTTGGCTAGTAAAGACAATAAAACAAAGAAAATTGAAATATTTTGGTCACTTGAAACGTCATGGAAGTCTAGAGAGAACAATAATGGAGGGGTATATGCCTGGGAAGAGAGGAAGAGGAAGGCCAAGGAGAAGATGGGTGCAGGATGTGGCAGATGATCTCCAGATGGGTGTATCAGACGCAGGACATCTTGCTCAGGATAGGAAGGTTTTCCGGAGGGTTGTTACGGCAGCGAGGTTCCGCGAGGGACATGCTACTGAATGAATGAATGAATGAATGAATGAATGAAAGAAGGCCGTTGCTCGGGACCCGGATGCAAATGCGGCCTCTAATTGACTCTTACACTATTGACAACAAGAATTAAAGTAACAGAACTGAAAAAAAAAGCCAAAAACAGATCAAGCAGAGGTAAGACTAGAGACAACAAGAATTAAAGTACTAGAACTGAAAAAGCCAAAAAAAAAACAGATCATGCAGAAGTGAGACTAGAGACAACAAGAATTAAAGTAACAGCAGAACTGAAGACAACAATAACAGATGAAACAGAGGTAACACTAGAGAAAACAAGAATTAAAGTAACAGAGCTGAAGATAACAATAACAGATGAAACAGAGGTAACAGTAGATACAAAAGGAATGAAAAAACAGAACTGAAAACGAAATAATCGAGTCATCTTGGTCCTCTTGAAGCATGAATAGCGCAGAAACAGCTTAATCAGGGCCACTGTAAACTATACGTACGCGGCGGTTCACAGGAACTTTTTTTGTGTGTCCATCGTTTGCATGGTCGGTCTCTCTTTCTATTTTTAATCAGTCTAGAACTTATCAAATGATTTAGTTTACTGTCTGTTGCCATTCAAACTAGGTGGTCGAAACATTTCACTTGTTGTTGTGGCTGTATTGCTCTGAGAATTTTCAAGCCTTTTTTTTTTAAATTTAGGTAGACAAACTGAAGTCGAATAATTGTTTCGTGGTTATCTTGGTAATGTCAACGGTGTGCCTTCCTTTTTTACATTCAACAACTATTGAATCACTGAACTGACAGTTCTATAATCTATGCTCACTCCTAAAATTCGACGAAGATATGTTAATATCAGTTAGTCTTTCATTGTCACTTGAGGCAAGAACTGATTTCCTTACAGTTAATTAGTTAATTAGCAAACATCGACTTCCATTTAGCTCACAGTGGTCAACTGACAACAAGCTCTGGTTTCAGCAATAATTATTCGAATACGTCTACTTATGTCTGTATGTCTGTCTGCAGGTCTGTCTGTCTGCAGGTCTGTCTGTCTCTGGTTGTCTGTCTTTCTCTGTCTGTGGCTGTCTGTCTGTCTACCTGCCTGTTTGAGTCTGTCTGTCTGTCTGTCTGTCTGTCTGTCTGTCTGTCTGTCTGTCTGTCTGTCTGTCTGTCTGTCTGTCTGTCTGTCTGTCTGTCTGTCTGTATGTCCCTGTCTGTGGTTGTCTGTCTGTATGTCCCTGTCTGTGGTTGTCTGTCTGCCTGACTGTCTGCATGTCTGTCTGTCTATAATCGTGGACAATATTTTAATGCCTTTCGCGTTTCTTACTGTTTTTTCCAGGCTCACAGTGTTGTATGTCTTCGAAGTCCTGAGCTTCCTACGCCTGATTCTATTACCGGTGATGCTCCTGTGGTTTCCAGACATTAGAGAACGAATCAAGACCTGGAGACCTTGCCGTCAATCAGATCCCCAAGCTGATTTGGTTGTCATCTACGAGAAAAACGCTTCTGATTGATCAGCACTGATTGATACAAATATCATTGTTTATAAAAGCGTGTGCTTTCACTCTATTGTCTTTCTCTGATTAGTGCTGTGGAAGGCGCGGGTAATGATTGGTTTCTGGGATAGTGTGAGCTAGTTAGCTTGCTGCATGGTCATACTGCTGAGTTTCAGCAGGCTGTTAACTCCTTCTTTCATGTTTTTCTGCTGCGGAGGACACAGGTGAGGAGTATTGTCTGGATTTTTTCACCGGGGGACGCCGGTGTATTGGGGAATGAATAGGCGGACAGACTGGTTGGCTCTGCACAACTTGGTGGAATACTGTTACATGATAAGGCAGACGTGGTTAGTGCCTTGTGGGAGAGCGTGTACAGTTCGGAGGAGCTGATGGATCACCACAGTCTGGTGAGATTGATGCAGGGGGGAGTGACGAGAGGTTCTGGCAGATGCTCGAGGCTCAGAGGAAAGGCAAGACGGACGTTTAATCAGAATGCTACTGGCACCATAAGTATCGGAACTCTTCGCTGGCTGCTAAATATGGGACGGAGCGCTTATAGAATGCCCCGAGTGCTGTGATGTCGGTTCTTCAATCGAATCAAATCAAATCAATCTATGTTCTTCTCAGCCTTCCTCTGCTTTGTGATGTTTCTATTCTTACGTTGCATGCTCTTGCAACGGGTGACCCTGGGTTCATCCTGATCAGGTGGCCAAACCATTCTTTTTTTTTTTCCCAGTAAATCTAGTTACAGGTGTTGTTTCCATAAATTTAATGATATATTTGTTTCTATTATGGTCTATTTTTGTTATGTCCACTGCTGTAATCATCATCATCATCAGATGCCTTGCCGACTGGCGTGGTTGATCATGTCTCTCCATAATCCACGATCTCCTGCAGCATATATCAGTTCGTGTGCCGACACACCTCCATGCCATGCAACAAGACTGTCAAGATTGCTGTTATCAAACATCTTATTTCACATATCGTTAGTTTCAGCTTTGTTTTTGTTAATGCCCATGTTTGGCTTCCATTTACAGCTAGGCACTTTTGTGTCATATATGTGAGTGTGTTGTATATATGTGAGTGTGTCGTATGTATGTGAGAGTGTCGTATGTATGTGAGTGGGTCGTATGTATGTGAGTGTGTCGTGTGTATGTGAGTATGTCGTATGTATGTGAGTGTGTGGTATGTATGTGAGTGTGTCGTATGTATGTGAGTGTGTCGTATGTATGTGAGTGTGCCGTATGTATGTGAGAGTGTCGTATGTATGTGAGTGGGTCGTATGTAAATGAGTGTGTCGTGTGTATGTGAGTATGTCGTATGTATGTGAGTGTGTGGTATGTATGTGAGTGTGCCGTATGTATGTGAGTGTGTCGTATATATATGAGTGTTACGTATGTATGTGAGTGTGTAGTATGTATGTGAGTGTGTCGTATGTATGTGAGTGTGTCGTATGTATGTGAGTGTGACGTTTGTATGTGAGTGTGTCGTATGTATGTAAGTGTGTCGTATGTTTGTGAGTTAGTTGTATGTATGTAAGTGTGTCGTATGTATGTGAGTGTGTTGTATGTATGTAAGTGTGTCCTACGTATGTGAGTGTGTCGTAAGTATGCGAGTGTGTCGTATGTATGTGAGTCTGTCGTTTGTATGTGAGTGTGTGGTATGTATGTAAGTGTGTCGTATGTATGTGAGTGTATCATATGTATGTGAGTGTGTCGTATGTATGTGAGTGTGTCGTATGTATGTGAGTATGTCGTATGAATGTGAGTGTCTAGTATGTATGTGAGTACGTCGAATGTATGTGAGTGTGGGGTATGTATGTAAGTGTGTCGTATGTATGTTAGTGTGGTGTATGTATGTGAGTGTGTGGTATGTATGTGAGTGTGTGGTATGCATGTGAGTGTGTGGTATGTATATGAGTGTGTCGTATGTATGTGAGTGTGTGGTATTTATGTGAGTGTGTCGTATGTATGTGAGTGTGTAGTATGTATGTGAGTGTGACGTATGTATGTGTGTGTCGTATGTATGTGAGTGTGTCATATGTATGTAAGTGTGTCGTATGTATGTGAGTGTGACGTATGTATGTGTGTGTCGTATGTATGTGAGTGTGTCGTATGTATGTGAGTATGTCGTATGTATGTGAGTGTGTCGTAAGTATGTGAGTGTGTGGTATGTATATGAGTGTGTCGTATGTATGTGAGTTTGTGGTATTTATGTGAGTGTGTAGTATGTATGTGAGTGTGTCGTATGTATGTGAGTGTGTGGTATTTATGTGAGTGTGTCGTATGTATGTGTGTGTGTAGTATGTATGTGAGTGTGTCGTATGTATGTGAGTGTGAATGCGGGTGTGAGTGTGTGTGTATGTGTGTGTACTTTGTTTTCTGGCTTTTACTCGATCCACAGTAGTCTATTTCTTACCTTCTTTTTTACGTAAGGATTTACCCATAACATTTTTATTTTCGTAAGGGAAATAATATATTTAATACACATTATTTGAACACATTTGTACGTGATATGCGAGTGAAGAATGACACATACAAAATGAGATTGTTTTTATCAGTTGAGATGTACCAGCAGTACTTTCGTGAGACTGAAACAGAATCAATGTTCGCCCTTGGCTCCGTGCTGCATATGTAACATCGCAACCCTCACTAGCTGAACAAAATGGTGGGTTACTTGTCTTCTGAGCTGGCGGCGTTACAATTTTGCCAGATCGTAAATGAATAGAGGTTAGCACAATATATGCCATTTTTATCGTGGTATGGGACGTCGCAGGTCGACCCAGCCTCAAATGGGTACCAGGATGGGCTGTCCTGGGAAAGTAAAGACGGCCGGCGTAATGCTGACCACATTACCCACCGAGTGCAGATTGGTCTGTAAAAATATGGGTGCTCTTCCCATATGCCCGATGCGCCTCAGGGCGTGTAAAGGGATCTTTACTTTTTTTTTTTTTCACAATATATGCCACAGACGCATAGGTACTCAGAAAAAGTCCCTTCACTGATAAATGACTTATGACTGTTTGGATGAAATGCTTCACAGCTGACTTGTTGGTTTTGATATAATAAAGTCAGTAACATTATTTTATTCCCGGACTATTACTTTCGAGTCCGTTATATCAGTCTGGAAAGATGGGACAAGAATAGAAATATTGAAGCATTGTGTATGCAAATACTGATATATTATACAAATATTAATATATTACATTATATCAGGAATTAGGCCAGAACTCTTATCTTCACCCCTCCAGTAGCCAAGCACTCACAGTGTTCATCTTGTCACCTACCAATCCATCACCATCATCATGTGCCCTGCCAGCTGGCGTAAGCGCTCATGCTTCTCCACAGATCACGAACCCTGGTTGTCTGGAACAGTTCTGTTGATGATATCCTTCTATGCCATCGTGTCAGCCCATTCAGCATAATCCCTCTGTGTCTTCCTCTACCCCCTTTTCCACTGATCTTTCCATTTGTCACGATGTTCTCAAATGTCTCTCTTCTCATTATGTTGCCAAAGAATAGCGTTTGTCTCTTTCTTATTGTTGTATATAGACATCTACTTTCATTAGCCTCTTTCAAGCTATTGTTGTTAGTTACTCTGGCCGTCCAAGGTTTTCGTAACATTCTTCTCAGAAACTACATCTCTGTTGCTCAAAATTCTTCTCAATTTGTTCACTGACATTCCAAGATTCGCTACCATACAGCAGAACAGATTCTATATAACAATTTTAGCGCCCTCTTTCTGACATTAATTGAGAGCGATTTATTGCATAAGATATTTTTTATTTTCTGAAATGCAGCTTTCGCTTGACCTTTTCTACTTTTAATCTCTGTCACACATTTTCCATCTGACGAAATTACTGTTCCCAGATATTTAAATTTACTGACTTTCTCTTTTTTCTTTAACTGAGTTTTCATAACATGGAATTGTCCTCTTATTTGACATAACCATCACTTCCGTTTTCTTTATATTTAATGAAAGTCCTTTCTTAGCACTCTCCATCCCCACAATATCTAGCAGCTGTCAATCAGTTGCATTTTCAGCTATCAAAATTGTATCGTCTGCATAACGCAAATTATTTATATTGTATCCTCTAGCTCTTACTCCTGCATTCTTTATTTAATTTCTCTCAGAATTATGTCACTGTATATGGAGAAAAGGTCTGGGGATAAGACACCTCCTTGCTTACTCCTTGTTTTATCTGTTTAGTAGGACTCAATCTGTTTCACTTTTTAATTGCTTCTACTTGGTTCCAGTAAATGTTTTTAATTATTTTGAGATATGTCCCGTTTACATTGATGTCTTCCAACATTTTGAACATGTTTAACTTTGTCGACTGCTTTGGTATAATCTATAAAGCACAAATATAAGTCCTTTTGTATGTCCATTGATTTTCAGTGTTCGTAATATGTATATTGCATTACTTGTCCCTTTACCTTGCATAAATCCATACTGCTCTTCAGTCATTTCCTTTATTACTTTTCTTTTTGTTCTTCTCTTTATAGTTCTAAGTAGTAATTTAATGATTTGATTTATTAACTTAATTTACGAAATTCTTCACACTCAACTGGTCCTGGTCTTTGAGGTAACACAATAAATACAGCTTTCATCCTATCACTTGAAATGTGCCCAATGTTATAATTGCATAGGACATAAAGTTAGGTCAGAGGTCCAACCATATTACATTCATTCGTCCATCTATTGTCAAGTTGTGCCATTACACATAGGGCTCGCTGTCTTTTTCTCTCTTCAGTCCTATCACGTACAGTCACCGCGGTATCATAGACTGAATCCATGTCCGTGTCTTTTCTCATCATTTACAGCAAGGTTTTCGATCTATTACCCACATCAGTGATTGTTTTGTGATTCTCTCTTTGTCCTCTCTAAGAATGTGTCAAATATAGCGCCACTGTTGGTACTAGTGGTTGCCCAGAAATGTCTCCTATTGCACTCCTCTTGAATTCATCCCAAACATTTGTTTGAAAATTCATCTATCTTTTAGCTTTGATCGTTAGTGG